AAAATCGAAGAAAGTCGAGCCAGAAAGAAGGAATGGAGACGGCAGGTGAGAAAAGACCGAGAGAGCCCTACCTTCCAGCGTACTGAAATATGGTTTGAAATGAGTCAACTGCATGTTTATGTATGTTGAAAGATTTTATTCACACTAATTTAATTTTTTTGAAAAATATCACCAGAAGCCAGAATGTACTTCATTAGTCCGTATCAAACTAGTTGCGCTATGTTAGAAACCGCAATGTGCTTATGAGTTTCATCTTTTCTGTCTGGCAATGTGAATAATTCTGCTCACATGTGTGTTTTATTCAATCTAATTAAGATTAAAAGCATTCCAATAATATTCTTGATATCTTGATTTCATTCAGCGAAAAGGCAATAGTTTGACCTGCGTCTTTCGCGATGTTGCTATGGGAATAAACTTACATTTTTGTCTGGAGAGCTATCTTTTTTGTGACTTACTTTCAACAGAACCTTTTTTCCGGGGGGGGGGGGGTAATTTCCTCTGTGTGAATTGTTAGACGAAAGGGAAAAGACTATAATTTTACGTCAACACGTATGTTTATGATGTATGGTTTATCATCGCATTGAAAATGAGTAAGAAGTTTAATTTGATTTCCACATGAAAGAATTATTTTGAGGGATATTATATTAATAAGTCTGTTTGTCTGCTGAGATACTGGATCACACTCAATCCATACTAGTACTGACAGGCAGGGCGTAGGAAACTGATCCTGAAATCAAATTGGTTCGACGGATTCGTAAACCATCCACACTCATTACCAATGATGCAAGGTTTAAATATCAAATGATATCTTCTCACCTGAATTGCATGCATTTAATCTACATATTCCCACAGTGTATTCTGAATACAAAGTACGCATTACCGACAGCTTCATTAAATCTTCATTTGAACTATAATTATATATTCGAAAACGGTCTTCTTAAGAGTAACCAGACTTTCACAACGAAGTTGCATAAAATATAGATATACATTTTTCTTTATACTACGGTTGAACTTGTTCTAAAGGTCACCTGTCCAAGACAATCGCCTGCACAAACTACGACCCACCCTTACTTCCCTCACTGCGTTTTTTTTCCAGCTTTTTTCTATATGTGAGGCAGCGCGGTGAAATCAGGCTCTCGTCAAAATAATCAAAGTGAAGAAACGTGCCTTTTCCCGCAGGTTTGTGAATTTTTATTAAATTTTTGTATTTTGGCTCTACACCTTTCATGCCCATTAAAAAACTCATTTCTATGTGGATTTTTCTGACAAACGTTGATTAAAGGCACAAAAAATGTAAATGTTCGGTTACCACAGACTCTTAAGCTAAGGAAATAACTAATCTTTGACGGCCATTTTCTCACTAATTTTACCTCTGAAAACAGGTGACCCCCACCTACTTCTTTCGCAAATATCTCGACTTGTATTCAAGATAAATGGATATCTTTGTCATCCAAATAAAGACAAATGAACAAGCTTTAAGAAGATACCAATAACCCTACATGCCCAAAAATTGACGAGAGCCTGATTTCACCACGCTGCCTCACATATTATAATAATGACACTCACCAAGTCTTAAACCTCACTTAAACAACCACGTTTCTCTTCGTCAAAGGTTGGCCGTTTTGGATAGTTTCAACTGCTTATTGCAACTGCTTGGGACTTATCATTGTTGCTGATCTGCTAAGTTGTCGTACCGTTTTGTTTGGATTTGGGCGCAGACTGACTCGGCCCAGTCGGTCGTAGGCTTATCCGGCGTAATCACATGGATAAGCTGGCAAAAGCTTCACGGTATGTGCATTGCTTGCAGGCGGTACTGTATGGTGTTTGATTGACCTTTTAATGTGTGCAATACCCGGAAAACGACCCTGTACCATAATCTCATTGCAGGTGAGAGATTGTATGATTCCAAGTGTTTCGAAGGTATGCCCACGGGATAGGTACCCAGAGCTAGTGGGCGAGATATAAATAATGTAGTGATCCACAAACACGGGGAACAACTCTCTCTGTTGATTAGATGCCAGATTTATATCTTGCCTGAATATTTTTTGTTGTTGTCGGTAACGCACTTCCATCTGAAAAATGTATGTTTTTGTTTTGTGTTGTTTTGCTTATGTTTTTATCATTTAATTGTTTTGTTTTGTTTTGCTGATTTTTCTTCTTGTAAATTACTAGACGAAAGAAAAAAGACTACAATGGCAACATACATCTGATTCTGTGGTGCAATGGTTTAGCACTTAAAACTACATGACCCCAGAAAGAATGACTTAAATTCAAAAGTACCATAGAACCTGCCCGAGACAATCGTCCATTGTCAAGGACAGAAAAAATGGTTATCATAAATAAGTGGTCCTAGTGGTCAATACGTATTTACTCTCTCCCTATATCGTCAGGTACATAAGGCGGAGAGCAGTCGACGCCACGCTTGTCTGTCTCTGGCCACGACCTCCAATTTCGGCAAATCCAGGCCCTAGGACAAGGATAGAAACGGTAGATCCTCGTTTGTATTGGTGATTATTTTGTACAAGTGTTTGATAGAGCAGGTATTTATTGTCTTCTGTCCTGCTCTTCCTTGCTGACCTGTCAAGCTAACTTTAAAAAAGATGTTTGTTTAATGGCACAAGCAACACAATATGTAAGTGCTGAGAATTAGAGAAGTTACAGAAAAGTAACAAACACGAGAAGGATTCAAAGAAGTCGGAGAGAAAAGGGCAATAGACGCTTCATAGAAAACAAGAGCAGGTGCCCACCAAACCAAAGCACTCGCCAACTACCTGTCTTAGAATATGAAATGACCAAGGACTACTATACTCATGAGTATAGTAGTCCTTGGAAATGACTTATTTTGTCTAGCATAGTTTAAAAAGGTAACAAAAAATCATTTCCGTGCAATTATATTCACCCGTGGATGTAACACCGGACCCGTGTTTCCTATAACCCTTCACCCTAACACACTTAACTAACCCTCACACTTAACTAACAGTCTCAAACAGACTCAACTCTGCCATAAGACCTCTAACCTCCAATCCTTAACCCTTAACCCACACCTTAAAGCAACCCACACCTGCCTCTTTACACACACACACACACACACACACACACACACACACACACACAACACACACACACACACACACACACACACACACACACACACACACACACGCAGAGACATTAGGAAATCCCCCCCCAAAAAAAAACCCAAACCGAAAAAAGGAGTTCCAGTTCTGGTACCGACATCCGTGTAAGTATCAGGTGAGCCAATTCGACATTATATTTCTTCCTTTTTTCTTCTTTTGGCTTATATTCTGGACCAACTGCACACCTTCCAAATTTATGTAAAAATAATTTCAAGGTACACTCAGGGGTTTAATAGAGATGATGGACAACAAAATACAGTGTGAACAAGACAATCTCCTGTACCGTACGAAAGATTACTTTCACTCCCCCGTTGCGTGTAATCTATAAAAATGATCTGCTCTGGACGCAGATGGGAAAACAAACAAACAGACAAACCAACAGAGAAGGAGAAACAAAATATTTTTAAAAAACCAAACGTAGAGACATTTACGATGGGGGTTCAATAGGTCTTTGGTCTGGATATGAAGGAATCATGGTAGAGTAATGAAATTTCGCCAGCCTTTACACAATTTCTTTGGGAACACACTATGCTTATTTTCGTGAAAATCCGACACAAGGCATTTGTCAGTGTATTCAATGAAACCATGCTCAAAAACGTTTGGCTTTTCTTTGCTGAAGCTGTGCCATGGAGCCCGTTGAATATCTCTCAGTTATCACGTTTTTACACTTGCCCATGAAAATCCCATTCGGACATTTTTCAGAAAATGGTCCAAGTTTATGGTGACAATTGATCTGTTTATAATACTGAGACATACTGAGTAAGAAAATTCAAATCTGGAATTATGTTGGTGATGGATGAAGATCGCAAAGGGCGCCCATCATTTGTGATAACCGAAGAGAATGTATCCATAGTGAAGAAACTGGTTTTACAAGACCAAGCATAACTGTTAAACAGCTCTCAAGTGAAACGATGATCAGTGTGGGGTCAATTGAAACGATTCTCCATGACCATCTTAGCATGAATAAGGGGTCTTTTCGGTGGGTACCCCGCCTTTTGACAAGTTAGCAAAAGAAGCAGAGGGTTGAGTCTTTCCAAAACTCTCCTTCGAATTGAGTACAATGACACAAATTTCTTTTAAAACATGGTGACTATGGATGAAGCATGGATTTATCATTTTGATCACGAACAAAAAATGTCCTCAATGCAATGGAAAACCCCTTCTTCTCCCTCGCCAAAGAAGGCAAAGGTAACACCGTCAAGTGGAAAGGTCATGCTGTCGTGTGAGATTGTGAATCACCATGACTGACAACCTGGAATTGGAAAAACGGTCACAGGGGACTACTTTTCGGGTTTGCTGATAAAACTGCGGTCCGAGTTTGTGAGAAAAGGTGAGGGGAAACTCAGTAATGGGGTCCTCCTATTGCATGACAACGCTCCTGCGCACAAGACACAACAAACAGTCCAGACAGCAAAACACTGCGACTTTGAAATCCCGCCATACTCAGCTTATTCACCAGACCTAGCACCTTTAGACTTGTTTCTGTTTCCTAATCTGAAAAAAAAACCACTGAAAGGACGCCTTTTCCATGACAACGAGGACGCCATTGAAGCTGTGGAAGACTGGTTAGGAGTCCATTCTGGGTTATTTTTTCTCAAGTACTTTTGAAGATCAAAGAGAGGAGGCAGAAACATGTTACCTGCATGGTGACTAGATTTATGTAGAGAAATGAAAGTATATGTGCCTAGCTACAAAGCTCTATCTTTATTCCTTCATATTTAGATCTAAGACTCGATGAACCCCCCTCGTACACACATAACTTTATTTTTTTGTTAGAATAATTACGTCATCAGATTTGATGCTTCTTTTAATCTCTACTCCTAAGCAGTAGACGAAAACAACAAAGAAGAATTTGGGAAATGTGTCATAGAATTAATCAACTGGGCCAAGATCTAGATCTACTGATTGTTTTTAATCTGGATTCCCTCCCAAGCACTGTTGTTAGAGAGAGGAAAGGACGAAAGAGAACACTTGTCAGAAACAGAAAGTGATTTCATTGGCGAGGTGAAATCGTATACACATTAGATCTATATCTATATCGTATTATTAATATTATTCTGGTGATAAAAATGGTGCTACTTTTTGTTTGTGTAACATGTCCAGTCTTCGTAGTTATAGCCTTTACATTTTTCCATTACTCTAGTAAAATTGAGCACTCCAAAAGTAGGTCATGTACGAGTAATTAAAAAAAACATTTTTCATATAAACTTACTAACCTTCGTAGATGACAATAATCAAACGTTATTGCAGCTTTTGGTAAACACATACCGAAACGTCATCAAATAAAACACACACACACACACACACACACACACACACACACACACACACACACAAACACACACACACACATACACATCGTCATCGTCATCAAATGCCAGATCTGCAGCAGACGTCGGCGATCATGGTTCTCCATTCATTCCTTTGCTCGGATGCTCTTAAAAGGCTACGTTTCCCTGATATTTCCCCGTCACCCATTTGTTTAGGTTCCTAAGTAGGTTGCTCTGGGCCCTGCCTCATTTGCCTTCAATTTTGCAAGTGAGAGCTAGATGTTCAAGATCTATTATTATGTCTATTCGGGTGTCCCAAAAAACTGCATTTGTCGTTTTCTGATTGTTTTTAACAGTGAGCGTCCCACGTGGGCTTCTTCAAACACTTAACTTTGATTTCTTTTCCTTCCACGATATTCTCAGCAGTCTCCTAAGAAACCGCATTTCGGTTGCTTCTATTTTATTTTCACTGTGCCCACACACATACATGGAATAAAAACATAATATACCAAGTAATCGAGGAAAAAATACTCATTTTCTATCTCTTGATGTTGTTCTGTGAACATTAATAGAAGCACCAAAATTTCGTTTTTGACTTTTTAGAGTATTAGTTTTACTCTAGTGAAAGGAAAAGCATAAAGACGCAAAGGACTAGATTCTTTTACTCAATCAAAAAGCGGTACTTTTTTATCACATTATTACATTACAACCTATCACGCTCTGAAACGTCGGTTGAAGTGGAAGAAACCTTGAAGCGTCTCAGACACTACAAAGGACCGGTGTGCACCATATTTGTTGCGAACAGCGAAGGCGTCCCCATCAATATTTTTCTTTTTCAGAAACATAGTCTTGGAAATACAGTTTCGAATAGTTGGAGGGCGCCACTGGTAGGTTCAACGTTTTTCCCTTCCCTCTGTTGTTTCTGTTTGTCTGTCTTGCTTTTTCTTAGCGTTATATGACCATTATTGAGCAGTTGTGTCTGTTTTTACACAAACAAACCTATTGACGCACTAAAAGGATGTAGTTACTGCATTCATAGAAAAGGAAAAGCTTAAAGACTCAAAAGCGCAAATAGACTTTTTACTCAGTCAAAAAAACGCTTTTCATCCCCAGTATATATTCTAATTCGATCTGAAATGTCGGTTGAAGTGGAAGAAACCTTGAAGCGTCTCGGCAGCCACACAGGAGTGGTGGGCATCATTGTTGTGAACAGCGAAGGAATCCCGATCAAGTCAACGCTGGACAATGCGACAACTGTGCACTACGCCAGCCATCTCCACAACTTGACAGCTAAGGCCCGCTGTACTTTGCGGGAGATAGACCCCATGAACGAACTCAAACTTCTCAGGGTCAGGTCTCACGACAACGAGATTGTGTGTGCTTTGGAGAGGGAGTTTTTACTCATCGTTATTCAGAGAGACCATAGATATTGAGCTCTCATTTCATGAACAATGATTATGTCATTTAGATAACGTCATTTTAAAAACTTTTAGAAATACAAAGTCTTAGAACTACAGTCTTGGGTGGTTGGAGGGCGCCACTGGTAGGTTCCACTTCTTTCCATTTTCTTGGAGGTTTCTGTATGTCTGTCTTACTTTTTCCCAGCACTAAATAACTACTATTGTGCGGATCTCTTTACGCGAACTAACTTTACTTAATGTATTTGTACTTTTCCGATCCAGTGGCCATCTGGGTTCTAGCCTTTCAGCCTCAGCCTGTCGATATGGCAAAGAATTTACAGGTTTTTATAAGCTGTGTTTTGTCGCTGTAAAATGTATTTCCGGTGTCTGGGGAGGCAAGTAGGTAGGTGCTACGCAGGTCGCTAAGTGCAGAGCAGGAAAAGAGATAGGCTACTGTGATACTGTTTCTTCCTAGCAGTCACATAACAGGCTGTCATGTGGGGTATCGTTGCAGATCCTATTTGGGTAGGAATTCAGTGGGGTGTGGTATTCAGGTGAAAAAGAGTAACTTGTTCTCTTATACTAAGGGAATTTAGTGCATATTTTGAGTTGGGAGCAGTCATGTGTGCAAATTAACAGCTCCTCCAAATTACACAAACAAACAAAAAATTAGAAATACAGACGAAGCTGCTCAAGACGCTCACGCAGTGATCGTCGTAGACAGGTGGTCGGTACTTGTGGACAGCCTCACAGCTCTCTAATATAGAATAAAGTTCAAACATTGGTGGGGGGGGGGTGTTCGGAAGATGTTATTTGCACAGGTGATTGTCTTGTACCGGTGATCGTTAGAGCTGGCTTGACTGCAAGCAATGTTGTCCTGTCCCTGCCCTTGCTCATGGCAATACTGTCAAAGAGCGCGAACATTGAAAGCTAGTACTAATCCAGCTTGATATTATGTTGTTCGCTTTTGTTTTGCAAAGGAGAATGTTCTCGAATATGAAATAGATATTCGTTCTGTTAATTCATTCGGTTCTTGAGTTCTCTTTGCGGCTTATTACGGCAAATGACGCTGTTCGTTTTTTTTAATGGTTGACTCGATTTTGGGAATGGGATTCTGGTGTGTGTTTGCGTGTGTGTATGCGTTTGTGTGTGTGTGTGTGTGTGTGTGTGTGTGTGTGTGTGTATGTGTGTATGCGTTTGAGTGTGTGTGTGTGTGTGTGTGGGTGGGTGGGTTTGTGTGTGTGTGTATGTGTGTGTGTGTGTATGTGTATGTGTGTGTGTGTGTGTGTGTGTGTGTGTTTGTGTTTGTGTTTGATGGATGTGGTTAGATTTGAGGAGGTGTGGGGGGGGGGGGATTGTTACAAGTAAACATGATGCACACAAATAGAAAACGAGGGGTCCGCGGGAAATCTGGACGAAGCCATGAGAAAGGATTTGTTAGAAAATGGATGTTAAAAACTCAAAACTTCATTTTATGTCGACAGTTAGTTCATCATTTTTGCTTGATTTTCCATTCAGCTCACAATAATAATAATAATAATAATAATAATAATAATAATGAAAATAATAATAATAATAATAATAATAATAATAATAATAATAATAATGAAAATAATAATAATAATGAAAATAATAATAATAATAATAATAATAATAATAATAATAATAATAATAATAATAATAATAACACAAATATTATTACTACTACTCTACTACTACTACTACTACTACTACTACTACTACTACTACTACTACTACTACTAATACTACTACTACTACTACCACTACCACTATCACTACCACTACCACTATTACTACTATTACTACTACTACGATAACTACTTTAACTACTACTACTGCTACTACTACTACTGCTGCTACTACTACTACTTCTATTACTACTAACTACTACTACTACAACTACTACTACTGCTGTTGCTGCTGCTGCTGCTACTAGTACTACTAAATAGCATTTGTATAGCGCATATCCCCGCTCGACAGCAAGCTTTATGCTCTTTATACACTATATCATAACCCCAGCAGACCATAGAACACCCTGAAGCATCCTCAGCTTCCCGGGAAGCATACGGTGCAAGCAGCTGATTCACCTCTCAAACACTAACATCAAACACTAACAAACTGACTAGATTTTTCACAGCTCCAGCTGGGTACCCATTCCCACCTGACAGAAGTGTGGAAAATTCAAGCAAAGTGCCTTTCCCAAGGACCCAAAGTCGGGACCCTAACAGGATTCGAACCCACGTCCTTACGATTGGGAGTCTTAGAGCTTAACCACTAAGTCACCACCCCCGGGGCAGAGCTACTGACTGAAGTGTCTTTAGACCTTTGCCAAATGGTGGACATTATCATTAACATGTTCTTAATCTTATGCACTGAAAAATTGTAAATTGGCTGATTCATCAAAGTCATGCTCATAACTGTGCCTGAACTGCAACAGGGAACTGCTGCTTTTTTCTTTCCTATTCCTTACTATCGTCATTTTCCTCTACTTCTTTTGTATATGTGTCACGCTCTTGTGATCCACTATTTCCGAGGTGCCTTGATAGTCGAAGCAGACTTTGTGCTGTTGAAGCTAGAGAGGTGAGCAGAGTAAGCCTGATTCCCTGTATGGACTTCTCTGTTGACATCCACCCCTAGGCGCCCATATGAGTGAGTGTGTGTGTGTGTGTGTGTGTGTGTGTGTGTGTGTGTGTGTGTGTGTGTGTACACGTGGTGAAACACCAAACCAATGTGCCAGGACCTGGACAATAAAGATGTATCTTATCTTATCTTTTCTTATACGACCTCATACAGATGCAAGCGACGTAAAACCTCTACTAAAACTAAATTAAAACCGACACCACCGACGCCACGGACACCAAAAGCAGTCAGATAGAAGTGCAGTTATGAATTTACTTGCTTTTTAATTTGACATTTTCTAGTGATTTTTTCCTTCTAATGACGCTGTCCAAGAAGACCACCTGTCTAGGATGATCACTTTTCTCACTGACACTGCGTCTGAAATGCAGGTCTGAGTTTACACTTTAAACAACTGCTTTGCCTTATACGTGGTGCCCACTACGGCTGAATCGGGCCGACCGCCCGACTCGGTCTCCCGAAACTGAAAACAAACACGTTAGTTTTTGAGGCGACCGAGTCGGCCGATTGGCCCGATCGGCTGATACCATCCATAATGGGCACTCCGTATTAGAATTTCAAAGTGCAGTCTGACATTTTTGGCCCTTTTAAGCTACTAAGACCATGCGCTCAGAAACCAAATGAATGCTCTTGGCTACATGGATATATGTCTGCATTATCAAAATCTAAACATTAGTAAATTATTAGTCGGGGTTATTCGGAGTCATTATCAAGATATTTTTAAAATTGCATTCGAAAAAGCGTGATCCTGTTGTTCTGTTGTGAAACTCAGTTTTTAAAGTCAAATGTCACAAAACTAAGTACTAAGCAGAAAAAACTTCTTAATTCCATGGTAGCGACTGGTATCCTCACAATTTCCAATTTGTGACTTTTCCCGTCATCGAGGAGTCTTTTTGTTTTCGTACCACTGCCAGAGACCTTCATGTCACAAACTATAGGTTACAAAATGTTGAAATCTATTACTTGTATCAATTTGACAGCCCGGAGTTGTGAGTTTAGACCGACAGACATAACTTTACCAACCTACGACACATGAAGATTATCCGCCCAGGGTCATTTTAGGCAAAAAAAGAAAAATCAATTCCATTCCAGAAACTTAGAATTCATAATTAATGTATCTCACATCCCTTCCTCTCCTTCCTTTTTCCCAACCATCCCCACCACTCTTCTCCCATTTGGCCACCGTTTCATGTCGACATCATTATTTACGTCACAAAACCAACGGACTTACCCTTATGGCACCAGCCTGACCAACAACCTCAAACATGACCCCATTTGGCTGGAAGTAAACTAAACCCACAAATCACTTTTCATCTTTCGCGGCGTGCAGCCATGCCGAATAAGTGGGTCTACTCTAATCGTCTCCTGTTCTCAGCACATGCTGTTGGATCTGTCTAAGTGATATTTATAGACACTATAATCCGCTCCTTGTGTACTGAAGGTTGCCCTTTGGCCAATATTCCCGGCGCTACCCAAAATCACCCCCGCGGCTGCTCTACTTTGCCGAGCTAAAGGAGTTTGAAGAATAGAAAATTAATTCGAGCGTCGAAAGAAACGGTGAATTATCGTAGCTATTCGAATGGTATTTCAAATGTTTGAGCGAGTATTAAAAGGTTGAAAAACTTGCTCGACAGAATATAAAAGAAATATCAAGGTGATGATGATCATCTCTCTCTCTCTCTCTCTCTCTCTCTCTCTCTCTCTCTCTCTCTCTCTCTCTCTCTCTCTCTCTCTCTCTCTCTCTCTCTCTCGCTAACTGTTTGTCTCTCTGTCTTTCTCTCTGACCTTCTCTCTCCTTCTCTCTCTCTCTCTGTCTCCCCTCCCCCTTTGATCTTTTGTGGTTGTTGACTTTTCTTGTTTGTTTGTTAGTTTGTTCACATGAGTTCACCATCCTTCTAGAGACACAATACTTCATCTTGCCTTAATTACATTTGTCTCAATATGAAGGGGGTTTGAAGGTAAAATCAGAAAATTGTGCAAAATCTATACACCAACTAAAGTTCAGCATGAAATGAGCACCGTTGTTGCAACACTATAAAGTTATTAATTAGAAGATCCATCTCTTATACAACGAAGCCAAATATATGTAGAACCTTGATAAATGCCCACAAAATCAAAGCTCAAGAACTGTTTGCTGGGAATTCAAACCAGGAGCATCCTTAGTTAAATTTAAATTCCCCAGTATGACATAAGTTGAGCTAGCGTCGCATCTGATTTTACCAAATTTAAAATTGCATAATAAATATATTTTAGCAGCAGTTCTCAGGTGAGTCACCCCATGTTACAATAATATCATAGTACTCAATTTACAGCCAAGAGCAGACATGGGCAAACTACAGCCCGTGAGACATAATATCCGGTCCCTCGAACAGTTTTAATTTGACCCACGAGTGAACCTAGTAATTAATTAAAAAGAGTGTGACCCGCGGTCAATTGATAATGAATAAAACTGTCCGTATGGGAAATTGAAATCAATAGTTTCTGTCCAA